TCGATTAATCCTTGCAGCCCTAGATGGGTTCTTCTTTAATGAAACATTTCATCTCTCCTCCAAGAGACTTCTTCAGTCTGATGAGTTTCAGGTGAACTGGAAAACTTTAAAATCCAATGGAAATGTGAAAACTTTTAAAATCCAAGCCCTTATTTTGAAGGGAAGATACTAGTTTCCTGCTCCCCGTGCTTTCGTTTCCCGTCACAAATCAAATCCATCATGTAACCAGAATGCATCGCTTTAGTTTTCCAATAAACAGTTTTAAAATTACTTTATTGATGCTTCTTTAATGAAAAACCTACAACAAACAAAAGAAAAAGACAAAGAAGCAGCCGAACTAGCAATCCTCAACAACTTTTTAAAGAAACAGCCGAACTAGCAATCCTCAAAAATTATTTAATTTTTAAGCCATGAGGCAAAGTTCTGTTTCAGAAAATCACTTCCAGGGTTCATACACCGCTAGTCGGCAGTATAGTGCATGACTTATTGCCAGCTAGTAAGTGTCAAATTGAAGTGCGCTTTAAAATTAGCTTCCGCTAATTTTTCTATGGCATGAGCACTTTTGAAATTACGGAGCTAAATATTTTCATAATCACTTTAGAAATTGCGGAGCTAATTTTTGTATTAACGCTGCCCACCACCGGACCTAATATTCCTTAAAGTGCCCCCCATACCCGAGTGTTAGACTAAAGGCCTCCAGATACTCCCTCCGAAGCCAAACATTGGATGCGCAGTTATGTGGTTGGTTGTCTGGGGTTTGTTTTCACACACTTTTCACAGCCCCTCAGGCACACCACACTGAGCTCCTGGGGAAACGGGGAACCCCCCCCCCACTGCAGCATACGTCACTGCAGGGGGTTTTCTCTTGGAGTCTACAATGTGGAAAAAATTTGAAATCCGAGACTCGTCACCCGTTATTTACCCACAAACCTGTCCTGATTAAAGCTTCGCAGTTTTTCAGACAGATTCATCCGTACACAACTCTATTTTATCTCCATCCATGAGTTTCTGGCTGCTTGACTGTCTTTATAAATATCTGCCTACAGGTAGCCTACAACAGTCGGCTCTGGAAGTGAGTCGTGTTTTCTTTTATTTTGAAGCGAGTGGTTGAAGTAAAACGCAGCGTCTGAGCGCTTTGAGCACCAACAAACTTCTGACCAGTCACACAGTAAAGTTCTGATGTTTTGGGGGGTAAAATGTTCTGCTGGCCGGCTGTGCCCAAAGTGTCGGCCGAGTCGATGCTGAGATCACAGTGACGTAAGTTTCGTTATAAAACTGCGACAATCCGAGCTGATTTCAGCAGTTAAGAGGGAGTATGAAGCATCTTATTGTATGTTGAGAAGTGACAAAGTTGCAGCTGTTTTGATCAAACCTTGAAAATATTTTTATGCTCGATTTTATGCCACCTGCCTTTGGAGTTTGTGTTGACAAACACTTTCATCTACTACAACTAGTTTTAGTTTAATATCTGTAAAACTGACTGAATTGTAGTCAAGTTTGTGTTTCTAAATCTGATTAGCTGGGGTGGCCATCTTAAATCCGTCTTCTCCAGAAGCTAATCAGTTCTGGACATCCATTCAGTTATTACCTTTTGATAGTTTGAAAATGAGTTATTGGTTCATGAGACATGTTGCTTACTAACAGACAGGCAGTTCCAGTACTGTCCCCCTTTCATGTTGGCAACAGATACAAACTATGAACCACCTGTTGTACAAAGTAAACAAGGTTAGGAGCTACAATAAATGTTATGAGAATTGTGAAAAAGCTCTTGTGGTCCAACGGCACCTGCTGACATAAAGAAAAATACAACACAGAAGAGCCGGATCATGGCAAAGCTTTCAGTAACGAAGTGTTACCTCTCCAGCTCAGTGCACCACAGCACATCCTCCTTCCCATTCATCAACACTGGGAAGTGCTGATCTTTTCCCTGCTTGATGGAGTTGGAGCGAGTGGTGATGGTTCTCACCTTCCCGAACTGAAAAACACACACCGTCATGCACTCACCACTAACTTTACACCAGTCGCTTTAACCTGCAGACTACTGACCTTTGCTACTCGACCGTGTTCCAAACAGTCCTGCAGCTCCAGCTTATTCATCCCAGAAGCACACAAAGGCCTGAAACAGGAAGTGACCACATTACACTTGAAAACATTCAGTTTCCATACAGGGTTGTTCCACAATAGAGTGCAGGGCGGCACGGCTGAGCGGTGGTTCGAGCTGTCGCCTCTCACTGAGAAGGCTGCAGGATCGCCTCCTGGTCGGGAGCCTTTCTGGGTGGATGTTGTACATGCAAGGTTTTCTCCAGGTATTCCAGTGTCAATGTTTGGGAGATAGGTTGGACCCAAAATGCAGACAGGCTCAAAGTAAAAAAAAAAAAACTTTATTAAAACAAAAAGGCATCAGGGTGGCAAAACAAAAACTACAAAGAGCTGGAGCACACGGAGGAAAGCCAGGGTGAGAGCCAAACAATGAACAGATGAGGAAGTGGAGTAAGAGGACCAGTAAAATAGCAGCAGGGTTAAGTGAAAAGTGTGATTACAGAATGCAGACAGGTGTGAGAGAATGAATGACCAGGAAGGACCTGACACACTGAGAATGTAAAACACAGGACAAACACCAGAGGGAGACAGAGCACAAGACAACAGATCCTCACACTGCAGTTCCTCCAACAAACCAACAACAAATGTTAGTTGGGTTCAGGTAAAYGGTAAATGGACTGTACTTATATGTATGTACTTACTCTATCCATCCAGGACACTCAAAGCTCTTCACACTACAATCTGTGTCCTCATTTACCCATTCACACAGCACTCTGTTAGGTCTCTACAAAGCTAACGTGTACAGTCATCTATGGAGACTAATCAGTGCCAATCACATTCATACACTGATGGGACACATCAGAGGCATTAGGGCTGAAGTGTCTTGGCCAAGGACACAACAACTGAGACAGGTGGACGGGGGATCAAACCAGCAACCTTCCGGTTCCAGGACGACTCCCCTTACCACTCTGCCACAGCTGCCCCAAGTTAGGTTCAGCTGGGTTCAGTTAAGTTAAGTTGGTTTTAGTTAAGTTCAATTGGGTTTAGTTAAGTTCAGTTAAGTTAAGTTGGGTTCAGTTAAGTTCAGTTGGGTTCAGTTAAGTTAAGTTAAGTTCAGTTGGGTTCAGTTAAGTTAAGTTAGGTTCAGTTGGGTTTAGTTAAGTTCAGTTGGGTTCAGTTAAGTTAAGTTAGGTTCAGTTGGGTTTAGTTAAGTTCAGTTGGGTTCAATTAAGTTCAGTTGGGTTCAGTTAAGTTAAGTTGGGTTTAGTTAAGTTCAGTTGGGTTCAGTTAAGTTCATTTGGGTTCAGTTAAGTTAAGTTGGGTTTAGTTAAGTTCAGTTGGGTTCAGTTCAGTTCAGTTAGGTTCAGTTGGGTTTACTTAAGTTCAGTTGGGTTTACTTAAGTTCAGTTGGGTTTACTTAAGTTCAGTTGGGTTAAGTTCAGTTAAGTTCAGGTGGGTTAATTTAAGTTCAGTTAAGTTCAGTTGGGTTCAGTTAGGTTCAGTTCAGTTGGGTTCAGTTCAGTTAAGTTCAGATGGGTTCAGTTGGGTCCAGTTGGGTTCAGTTAGTTTCAATTGGGTTCAGCTGGGTTAAGTTCAGTTAAGTTCAATTGGTTCATTTAAGTTCAGTTGGTTCGGTTAAGTTCAGTTAAGTTCAGTTGGGTTATGTTGCGTTCAGTTAAATTCAATTGGTTTCAGTTGGGTTCAGTTGGGTCCAGTTAAGTTCAGTTGGGTTCAGTTAAGTTCAGTTAAGTTCAGCTGGGTTAAGATAAGCTCACTTCAGTTGGGTCCAGTTGGGTTCAGTTCAGTTAAGTTCAGTTCGGTCCAGTTAAGTCCATTTGGGTTCAGTTAAGTTCAGTTAGGTCCAGTTGGGTTCAATTAAGTTCAGTTGGGTCCAGTTGGGTTCAGTTCAGTTCCAGCTGTTCCTGGGTGTGGTTGTGAATRGTTGTGTTCGTCTCTATGTGGCTGTGATGGATTCATGTACTTTGCCTGTCATTCAGTAAATGCTAGAGACAGGCACCAGCTGCCTGCAGCCCAGAAAGGAGAAATGGGTAARGAAAATGGCTGAATGGTTCAAGTGCTAGAGCTGGTTCTTAACAAGAACTAGTCGCTTGACTGGGCATAAAATCAGGGACATAAAGAATCAAGTAGTTTTATTATGTTATGTTTTGAAATGGTTTAATCAGCAAAAACATCTGGGGACTCATGTATGAACGGTGCATACACACAACAGTTTGGTCTGTCATGTTCCACACACACACCACTGGATGTTTCAAAATAAATGTTATATGAAAGTGTGTGGAAATACAGTGGGGGAAATTAGTATTTGATCCTTTGCTGATTTTATAAGTTTGCCCACTTATAAAGACATGAACAGTATTTAATTTTAAGGGTAGGTTCATTTTAACTGAGAGGTGGAATATTTAAAAAAATCCAAAAAAAATCACATTGTATGAATTATATAAATGTATTTGCATTTTGCAGAGAAAAATAAGTATTTCAGATTTATTTCATCCAGTGTTGTTTCCATTTTTCACCAAGATTTTACATTGGTGATGGTRGAGTCTGACCTTCTCCAGCACATCCCAAAGATTCTCACTGGACTCTGTGGAGCCAATCCATGTGTGAAAGTGATGTCTCATGCTCCCWGAACCACTTTTTCACAATAAGAGCCCCATGAGTCCTGGCGTTGTCATCCTGGAATATGGCCGTGCCATCAGGGAAGAAAAATCCATTGATGGAATAACCTGGTCATTCAGTATATTCAGGTCAGCTGACCTCATTCTTTGAGCTCATACTGTTGCTGAACCTGGACCTGAGACCTGACCACACCCCACATCATAGACCTGTTAGATCCAGGTGGACACTTGGTTTTGGCAAGACAGGGTATTTTGGGTAACTTACTTGTTTATGACTGTTTTTATTACAGTGTTTAATATGCTCCATATTCCTGACATTTGTTTTATCATCCAACATTTTATTGTAGTGCTCTCTTCTGGCTGTTCTTATGAAACGAGCAGTAAAATCACATACAGTAGATTCAAAAATGCAAGCTGTTTCTTTGGAACTTTGACTTTGTTTGGATGTTTGCCTACCTGTTCATTCCTGGAAGGTTACCCCAAAAGTACCGGGCACGATGGGCAGCAGAGACCTCGATRGCATCAATCATCACTGGGTTACACTGTGTCAATCACACAGCACTAAATCAGATTATTACTGTCAGAACTTTAAAGCATTTTGAGAAATTTTCACTTGTATTTTTGTCAATTTCAGAAAAATAAAACAACCATTATTACGCAGCCAAAACATCATTACAAATACATTTTTCATGTAGCTGTCTACATGTGACAAATATTTATTTGTGTCAGTATAAAACCGATGCCTTCAGGTACCTTCTCTTGGTCCAGGTGAGACGTAAAAAGTATTGTTTTTTTGAGAGACATGTCTGGTGCTGGTGTACACTGCGCAGCTCACCTCCAGAAATCGGGAGATATCCCTCTTATCGTTGACGCCCATGGCTACTACATTCTCGAACATCCAGAAAAAAGGACGGTCTTCTCCTTCTTTGGGCTTGGCCTCACTCAGGAGGCGGTAAAACTCGAAGAACAACCTCCCTGTACCTTCTGGAGAAATCAAACACCTTCAGAGTTCAGTCACATCAACATCATGGTTTTAAATGCTTCACAGATAAGATTCATTGATTATTGGTATTATTAACATTTATTTTTATGTCTCTTTTCCATTAATAGTGTATAAAATGTCCAGATACATCCCAGAAATCCAAGTAGAAAAATCTAATAAGAGAGTTGAGTAGGTCCTCTGGTCCAGTTCTCCTCTGAGACTTCTTCAGTCTGAAGAGTTTCAGTTAGACTTATAAGCACTGCCTCCACATGGTGCTATGGGACGGCTTTTGTTGTGACTCATCACTATTTAAATGAACTGAAATGAATTATTCTAACCTGAGCACATTGGGCCTCATGCAAGAACCGTTCGTACGCACAGATTTGTTCTTAAGTTGTGCGTACGAGTGATTTAGGAGAACTTGTGGCATTCACCAATGTTTTCGTATTCTAAGATTTTTTTCAGATACGAACAAAATTCACGAGTGGTCCAGATCTGTTGTGCATTTTCTGTGAAGTCAGTCTGCTGTTATCCAGACTGATTGTCTTCACTAATACTTTGTATTTCATTAGTTTGGAGATATTCTGAGTTGAAAATTAATCAGAATCCATAATTAAATTAACAATAGGATATTCTGTTTGAATTGGAATTATAAGTTTAAATGTAATAATATAGACTAAGGATATAAATTGTTTACATTACATTAAAT